CACTTCTTATCAAACTGTCTGTACTGGGCTAGCTTGATTATCACTTCAAAAGTTTTTTCTCTTACTTAATTGGCCTCTCAGAGTTGGTAAGACAACTCCCACCTGTTTATGCTCTCTGTATGTGTGTATATATATCTCCTCAATATATGTTCCATTCTATGCATCCGAAGAAGTGGGCTGTAGCCCACGAAAGCTTATGCTCTAATACATTTGTTAGTCTCTAAGGTGCCACAAATACTCCTGTTCTTTTTGTGGATACAGACTAACACGGCTGCTACTCTGAAACCCTACAGGGAACCTGTGGGCTGGGTTCTGATCTCAGCCCCCCGGGGTCAATCCGGAGTCATCCCTGACTGCACTGGGGGCTGGGCTGGGTTCTGATCTCAGCCCACCAGTGGGATGACCATATTTCCCTATGCTGAATACGGGATACCTGGTAAAATTACTCATATTCAAGTGAGTTCAATGACAATCAATCAGAGCTACGCAGTACAAACCTTCAAATTAACATCGAGTTGACTGAGCCCCTGTTAATAAGAAATTCTGCATAGCTGGATTATTTGTATTTACTTTATCTTTAAAGCTTTAGCGTTCACATGGGGAGGGGTGACACACACACACACACCCCTATCCCCCCACTACAGGAAGAAGTTACACACAGACACACACACAAACACACACACTCCCGTATCCCTCTCTCACATGGGGCTGGTGACTGACCAACCCGAACCTCCCAGCCCAGCGCTCTCCACCCTCCATGCCTGGCTGGGCCCCTGGGAACAGACCCGCCTCTCCTGATACCTGTTGCCGTGTCTTCCCGAGGCAACATGTGAGGGCGGTGAGACACAGGGTCATATGCACCCCCCCCCTGCCCCCAGATTTCTGCCAGGTTCACACCAGAATGTTGCCAGCAGCAGCCTCTCGGCCCTGTCTGGGAGGGAAGGGACGGGAGCTGCTTCCAGCCAACAGGGAGGAGCGGGGCAAGAGGGAGAAGGGCTGACCTGGCCCCTGTCTTTGCAGAGCTCATCTCTCCCGCAGGGATGGAAGCAGCTTGTCCCTTCCTGCCCGCACAGTGTGGAAAGGCAGCGAACACCCCCAGGCTGCTGCTGGCCACCCACATAACCCAGCCGCCTCCTGTCCCCCAGCTACCGCGCGGGCAGGAAGGGGTTAAGCCCTAAGGCTGCATTGTGCCCCAGGACCCAGGGAACCTGACTGCAGGGGCCTCAGTGACCCCAGCCAGAGAGGGGGCTCAGCAGGGGAGGTGCCAAGGGGACGGAGCAGCCCCACGCTCCCTGGGGGCAGGACCCAGGGTGAGGGGGTGGGGGGTGAAGAGGGTGCTAAGCCCATGCCCGGGGGGCTCCTGTGAAGCCTGAAGGTTCAGGGTGGGAACAGGCTGGAAATCGCTTTTCCCCTCCCCATCCTGAACACGAAAGTTCCCCTGCCCCACAGATACTCACGTCCCGACACCCCGCTCTGCCCGGCCAGCCAGCAGCCTGGAAAGGAGACGGCTCGTTAGGGACCAGATCCCAGAGCGACTCAATATTACACCCTGGGCTCTGATCCCACCTGCCCACCCCATGGGCACATGCCCTGGTCTAGGGTTCCCCCCCGCCCGCATGGACACATGCCCTGGGATCAGATCTCCCCCATGGACACACGCCCTGGCTTTATTTGATACTCACCGAGGAAGAGGACAGTGCAAGCAGATGCCATGATGGGGGCAGAGAGGGGTCCCTCAGCGCTGCCACCAATGCCCTGAAGCCCAACTCCACTGACCCCCAAATAAGGAACTCAGCTGGTGGCTCCAGCTACAGGAAGTTGGTGATGTGTCGTCTCTTCCTGTGCCCATCACACCTTGTCTCTAATCTGCTGGCGAAATCTAGGGCAGGCAAAACAAGCAGAGGCCCCTGCAAAACCCAGGAAACCCTGGGCCCATCAGCCTGGCCAAGCATCCTGCAGCTCCCAGCTTGTCTATGTCTCTGTGGGCAGTGGGGAGAGGTCACTCTCAGTGCAACCTGCAGCATTAGGGAAGGTGCATTGGGCTGGGAGCCAGGAGACCACAGGGTCTTGTCGTCAATCTTCCACTGACCACTACAGTAGAACCTCAGAGTTACGAACTGACCAACCAACCACACCCCTCATTTGGAATTGGAAGTGAGCGATCAGACGGCAGCAGAGATCACTTACAACAAGCAAATACAGAACAGTTTTGTGTTAAACATAAACTGCTAAAAAAATAAAGGCAAAGTTTAAAAAGGAAGATTTGACAAGGGAAGGAAACTGTTTCTGTGCTTGTTTCATTTAAATTAAGATGGTTAAAAGCAGCATTTTTCTTCGGCATAGTAAAGTTTCAAAGCTGTGCTAAGTCCATGTTCAGTTGTATGAAGTCAATGTTGACGTGTAAACTCTTGAACGACCAGCAATGACCTTTTGTTCAGAGCAGCGAATATTTCAGAGTTACGAACAACCTCCAATCCCGAGGTATTTGTAACTCTCGAGTTCTCCTGTATTTCCCTAAAGATTTACAAACAGACTCCCCCTCCCCCGCCACACCCCCCACCCGCTTTGTTGCGTTCTGAGTTCAAAGCTGGCTGGTGACCCATGTAGGTAAAATTAATACGTTATCATGCAATTAAAGGGGGCACAGCTAAGGAAAAGTTAACTGTGGCATTTCCTGGTACTGGAGGGTTTGACTCTGCAGCCTTCCCTCTCAGCCTGCAAACCTGCCCACCTGCGACACGAGCCCTGGCACCGTGTGAGGAGCGGGTGCGAGGGGGACG